GTATCAACTAAACTAGAAAAAAAAAAAGCTGTTCTAGTTTAATATCTCCATTATTGTGAAAGGCTCTGGTGCCTCAGTTTTCCAACTATTTCAGTTATTGTGCAAGAGCATTCAGCTCTTGGGCCCTTGGGCCCTGCAACACTTGCTGTCAATATAAAATTGCACTAAGGCCAAAGGGACTGTTTGCAGGACATTGCCCATGTCATACACACGAGCACAGGAATAAAAACTGGTTATTTGGCTTATATTGTATCTGATACAAAAACTGCCAACAGCTACACTAGCACCAATTGGGAGAAGTTCCTAATTGTGGTAAATTTGACTGCTTGCTAGAGTTCAGAAATTAATTCCACTCTCCTCCAATGTTTACAACCTGTCATGATGTATTTCATGAAATATCAAGACTAGCTGATACATGTGTCCAAACTATTCCTGAATGAAGAGTTCCTTTCAGAGATGTTTACTAAGTTAACAGATAACCTTATGATAACATCATGACACTTCCACAATATTTTCACAAACCACTGATTTCCTATGCTATATGTTAAGTCTCCTACCCCTTTCTTCAGCATTTTCTGCTTTCTATCTACAGTCAACTAAATATAAAAAAGAATCCACTGTTAAAGTCTCATTTGCTGCTCTACATGTGCTATTTTGCCACTTGAGTAATTTTACTAGTCAATGGTCTTTTTTTCTTTTCCCTAATAAAATAAAATCCAGTTTTTGTCCTGAGTCTCACATTTTCTAATCTTCCTCTAACCTCAACTTCTACTACTACCCAGATACTGCCTCATGAATTCCACATATTTTGGTTTTTAAGTCCCCCTTGTGACTCTTGCAATTTACATCTGTCAGCATCCAAAGCTGCTCTGTACCTGGAACCATCTCACACTCCTCAGTTACTAGAGGACCTTCCAAGCCCTCAGAATTCATCCTCTTTCTTAGTTTCCACCACTTATTCTTCCAGCTCAACTAAACCATTAGAAACAGAGTAACTGATTACCAGCTATGGAAATATGGAAATTTTTATTATTCAGAAAAAGACTTTTCTTCATTCCTCCACAATAACCCTATCTGATACCTGATGAACATTTTGGAAGTTTACATTTAATTTTAAAAAAGAGAAAAAAAAGAGAAAGTTTGACAGGGGTTTTTCTTCCTACCCAGAAAACACCATAGAAAGAATTACTTCTTGTCACATACTAAGTTAAATTTGAAAACTCTGCTGTTAGTTAAGGGCTCTCTTCATAAAATTTATATACAATCTCTAATGGCAAAGTAGTCAACAAAAAAATTAAGACTTTGTTCTCTATAACCCATTCACCCTGTACAATCAAAAAAGGGAAAATTTTTTCAATGAACTATAATTTCTTGATATTGCACACAAATTAGTTTCATCTTGAGCTGTTTACAGAGTAACAAAACACTTCTACTGATTGTGTAAAAACAGGTAAGTGAAAAGTTATGTAAACCAAATGTATAAGGGACTAGAACATCTCCCACATGACCTATACATTCAAAACATCTGCACAAATGCCACAATTCTCTGCTTTTGAGCCTGAAGTCTTTCATATCCCTCCAATGACAGCTGTGTATCACATGTAGTCTGTAACAGCTTTAGGATTAATTGTTATCTGTTTTTCCTTTCCTAATCAAAGGCAAACAGCAGATATAATCTATTTTCTCAGGCAGATTTTGGAAGTGGATGCATGTGTTCAGTCTATGTCAGCCACAGTTATTCTGAAGTACATAACAGTCATATAGGGCAAAGCAGCTGGTGCTAAGCAGCTGTCCTGCAGAGATAGAGTGGAGAAAAACACCACATCAAAAACCATCACCAGAGTCCTTCCTTCTCAACTCTCAGACTCCACAGTTTCTTAAATACTGCATTCAAGGCCATGCTTTGAAAAGTAGCTTTTTAATTTTTTTCCTTGGTCTTAGAAACAGGAATAAGGCTCAATGCTGCCTAACAGAGACAACTGAAGTGAGAGATAATCCTGTGGTTCAGCAGACAGGCAGTGCCCAAAGCTTCAGTGCCAGGATATGTCACAGACTGACTGCAGGAAACTAAAGCTGTCACTGCATCTCTCTGACCCCAAGGGTCCTGTTCGTACTAGAGGGACAACAGCCCCATTTTTAAAAAATCTTTGACATTAAAACTTACATTTAAGTTCTTCAGAGCACAGACAAACTCCCATATGACCAAAGCTAAACACAACAGTCTCTGTTCTCAGCTAGATCCTGCCAACTAAAGAGGAAAGCAGTTTTCTTTTCTAATACTTCTCCCACATTCAGCCCCAGAACAGGCCACCCCACTGCCACATCTCCAGAGCTTTTCACAGCACAGCGCTGCAGAGCAGAGCAGACAAACACACACCCTGCCAAGGGACCTCTGCTTCATGTGTCCTGCACACAGGTCATGGTTACCTGATTAACTCACACTTGGCTTTACACAATTCATTACATGGTGCATTTTCAGCTTGTGAGAAACAGAGCTCACTCTCTGAAATTTTAGAAGTTTAATAAGGGATAAAAGGGACAATATCCAGCACTGGGGTGTTTGGCAATATGCCAAAAACACACAATTAGCTTAAAACAGTGTTCTTATATATGGTTACATTACAGGGGCTACATAAATACCCATAAGAGTTTACACATATTCAAACATTCCTGTGAGTTTAGGAACTCTTTTGCTTGGCTTTAACCTTTAACTTGTCTGCATACCATCTTGTAGATTAAATCAATATATTTTATTTCTTCTTGAGGCTCCATTCTGTTGTTTTGACACTTCCTAATAACCACAGAGTCAGTAGCAAACTTTTCCTCTTGGTGTCCTGCTTCTTGTCACTGTTATCATTCAGATAAAGTGGTCCACAAATATGAGAAATCACATAGCTATTTCACACTATTATCTGAGCTAGTTACCACAAATAAAAGCATTTTAACATTATATAGTTTTTATTTTAATATTATGCAATGGCTTAAGACATATATTGATCACACTATTATTTATATAAGCTATATGGTACATACATAAATTGACAGGTTATATTATACCAAAAAAGCAGTTAAAAGGAAAAATTGTACTATATATAATACAAATTGTAACTATATACAATTGTATACTATATACAATTGCAAATTGTACTATATCGGAATCCTTGTGATCAATAAGAACTTGCAAAAGCTAATACATAAATGCAAAAGCCAATAACTACATTTGTCATTTATAACACAGCTCAAATTATGTTTGGTTTTTTTTCCTCTATACATAACAAAAAATAAATAACAAAACAAAGAATCTAGATTAAGGATGCGGAAAGGGTAGAAAAGGGGAACCTACAATCACTGCACATCATTACAGAGATAGGAAAATTCAGCTGATGGTCTTGTGACACCCTATGAAACCTTCACAGAATCCTGGAATGGTTTGGGTTAGAAGGGACCCTAAAGACCATCCAGCTTCTCTGGGCAACCTGTTTCAGTGCCTCGCTACTGTCACAGTGAAGAATTTATTCCTAGTATCTAACAAATCTGCCCTTCTTTCACTGTGAAGCCATTCCCGCTTGTCTTAACCCCCCCTCAAATGGATGTCTTGAGCATATTCTATCGAAACACAGTCAGATGTTTCAAACCTCTCCTTCCCACCAGGTGCCTTCTCGCACCTGTGCGGCTGCAGCCCGGCCAGAGGAGGACAGAGCCCGTGGCTCCCGGCCGGACACCCACGGGGCTGCCGCGCCTTCCCGCCGGCTTTACCTCGGCTTATGCCGGATTTACCACCCAGACACACAGCCCAGGCAAGGGGAGGGCGACGCAGCCCCCCCGGGTAACGCAGCCCCTCCGGGTAACGCAGCCCCTCCGGGCAACGCAGCCGCCAAGCACCGCCCCGAGCCCCCTCACCGAGCGCTGCCCGGGAGCGCCGCCCGCAACAGGCGCCCGGAGGCGGCAGGCCCCGCTGGCGGCGCCCGGGGAGGGGAGCGGGACCGGGCCGGCCCTGAGGGGTCCCCCTCGGCTCCGCGGGGACGCGGCTGCACTCACCGCTCCGGGGCGCGGGCTGCGGCTCAGGGAGGGCGGCAGGGAGCGGCGGCGCCAAGCCCCGAGGCGGCGGAGCGGCGGCGGCCCCGGTGCCTGCGCCGCTCGGGGGCCGGGCTGGGCGGGGCCGGACGTGAGGAAACTTCCGCGGGCGGCGGGGTCGCCATGGCGGGTGAGTGAGGGGGGAGCCGCAGGGAGCGAGCGAAGGAACGCGGGAGTAGCAGGGGGCGGCCAGAGGCGGGGTCCCGGGATTTCTCAGCAAACTAACGAGGTTTAAAGCACCTGTGGTGCTCTGCCAGCCCGCCGGGCTGCTGCTGTCACATCTCGGTGTGCACCGTGTCCAGCACCTCGCTCGTCTGCAATGGGGGGCCCCCATGTGTTTTACCACGTCTCTGTATAAATCTCTTAAGGGTGGGGGTCAAGAGAATTGAGCCGGGCTCTTCTCGGTGGTGCCAACCAGCCAGACAAGAGGCAATGGGCAGAAACTGATGCACAGGAATGATGAACGTGAGGGACAACTTCACAGTGCAGTGACCGAGCCCTGGAACAGATGAGCCAGGGAGGTTGTGGAGTGTCCTTACCTGGAGATATCCGGATATCCCTGCAGAACCGTCTGGACGCAATCCTGTGCCATGTGCTCTGGGGTGGATGGCCCCGCTTGAGCAGGGGGGTTGGACCAGCTGACCCATTGGGGCCACTCCCAACCTGACCCATTCTATGATTTTGTGTGGACTTTATATCTTTCGATGTGATGAACTCTTTTCAGGCATCTCTGTGGATAAAAGTTGAAGCCAGCAAACATTCAGGCAGGACATTTGGCTTGGCTTTGAGCCCTGCTTTGGCTTCCAGGGCAGGACCTGAGGTGCAAAGGCGGGGCTGCTTTGTGTGATCAGAGGAGGAGCAGAGGGTTCTTGCATGGAGACACCATGAAACGAGGGCTTTGTGCTCGGCAGCAAAGCACCCACCACCTTCGGCAGGACTCAGCCTTTCCCAAACTCTTGCAGCTCACATGTTGCTGTGAATTAATTCTGACATTCGTGGTATGAGCACTGCACACATGCCATTGCTGCCATGATTTCTCTCTGTCGTGCACTGCATTAGCATCTGACTGTCATTTGATGTCAGAAGATTGCTAGATCTGCCAGCACTACAAAGCCACTGCTGTCTGTGCTGCAACTGCACAGCTCAGAATGTGCTTCCACTTGTTTAATAACATGGTTTTCTTGTAAATAGCAAGAGATGGGGAATTAGATTTCACGACCAAGGACAGTTAATGTAAATTCCATTTTACTTTAATCAATATTTACCAGTAAAGCAAGGAGATCCCTCACACAAATAGCTGCTGGACACTGATTTGTTTCTGTATGCTTTAAATGACTTCAATTTCTTTATTTTCTCATACAGCTAAAACTCCTCCTGATAGTACTCCAAGAAGGCCTGTTTTATCTGTCAGTGCAAGAAAAATTAAAGATAATGCAGCAGACTGGCATAATTTAATGATGAAATGGGAGAGACTGAATGATAATGGATTTACTACAGCAAACAAAATAGTCAACATGAGGATCAGTGAGCAGTAAGTATGCTGATACACACGAATAAAGATAGCATAAAGATTGCTTTTATTGAGAGATTAATCTGCTTTCTTCACTAGAAGGTTCTTTTGGGGGATGGGAAAAGAACATGTCAGAGTGAATAAGCTAGGTCTTAGATCAAACTCAGCAGTTGCATTTTTTTTGGTTACATAAATTATTTACATTTAAATAATGTCTCATATAGTAATGATATTTGCAAGAAATGGGAAATGTTTATTTTACATAGTCAAATGTAACATATTTTTAATATTTATATAATGTACCAAGTTAAAATCTAATTTTATAAATATCAGCCCATGTGAGTTCCCTTATTCTCTTGCATGTTTTACAGTGAGGCGTAAAAAACCTCAAGTCAAAAGTTCAGAAGATTTTAAGGAAGACTCAGTGATTTGTACAGATAAAAAGTTTTAGTGGTGACAACTTAAAACAAAACCAACAAGGAATTAACAAAAATACCACACCACATCCACCATAAAAAAAAAAAAAAACACAGAAAAACTGAAAAAAAACACCACTTTGGTAGAGCTTTTATTTTCATGCTTTAATGGAAAACCTTAACTAACAGGGCTGTGAGCAACTTCTCCAGATTCCTGACAGCTGAAGAGGGTTTGTCTGACAGGGTTCTGACAGGTACAAGCTGAGGAATATTTGCTGTAATGGTGCCAGATGTTGCTTTTGCTCTTTAGCAGCTCTCTCTCTCCAGTCTAAGTTTACAGCTGGTGTGAGTCTGCCAGACAGGGCAGGTGTCTGCACACTGGCTGCTCTGGGGTCACAGATAAATGTCTTGGCTTAAAGTTGCACAAAGGTGAGTTTGTGGTGAGGCTTCAGATTGTCCTGTGGAGCAGCTGAAGCCTGGGCATACCTTGTTGGTGATGAGAGGACAACCTCCAGCACAGGGGCAAGGTAAAGAGGGAAAAAGTGTTATCTTAACACCTGCAAATGTTTTTTCAAGCACGTGTTCTAAGGTAGCGTAGTTCTGTTTTTCTCTGTAGATTGTGGTACTAGCCCCATTTGCCCACATGGCCAGCTATGTTTTTTGCTATTTTTATGTAGGAATTCTCATGAGCAGCCTGTGAGTGAGAGATTTTGTAGGATCAGACCACAAGGATTTTAAATCTGCACTGCTCAAGTAAACCTATGTGTAGTTGTTTATGCTGCCTCATGTTTCTATTTTAGATTTCAGGACAACAAACTGGAGATAGCATGTGATAACAGTGCCACAGAACCTGAAAAGCCAACCCCAAAATATAATGAAGAGCTGGACAATTGCTGTGCAGAATTACTTGAGACCTTAAAGCAAATGGTAATGCTAATTTTTTAGACTTAGTCAATATGAATCAATTCCAAGTGTGCTCAAGTAACAAGAAAATGTCCTGAAGTATTTATTGTAGGCAGAAAATTGGGATTTTCATTCATAGTTCTTTGGCTTAAAATCTAAATAACTATAAATCCAGAGTGCACCATTTATTTGATTGATTGGTAAATTTCTAAGTTGGTTTTACATCTTCTGTCAGCTTATAGTTCTACTCCCTCCTTTGTGAAAAGTGATGTGGAAACAAATCGTACAAAGAATGCATTCCAAAGGTGCATCCGGTTTCTGTTTCTCATCCTGGATATTCCCTCTGTTTAGAACAAAAGAAACAGCAAAGCATAAAGCAGGGCTCTACCTGCCATCATATCCTTGCAGCTGCCTTTGATCACACATAATGCAGTCATACTTTCAGCCTTCCTACCTGTATTTGCTGTGCAGATCTCCATCTCTGGAGAGTGGAGTAAGATAATTATGTAACCCAACATTTTTTCTGGATACCTTGCTAGGAATTACTGTCACCTGTCAGTTTGACAGGAAGCAAACAATTTTTTTTCTGCCAGATACCGTAATTTAAAATTCTTATTAAAAATAACTCTTATAGCCTTTTGCCAAAGTGGAGGCCCATTAAAAGAATGGTAGGTTTTTGGTTTTTTTTTTTCATAGACAGAATACAGACCTCCAGTATTTAGAAAAAGCAGGAAACTGGCTAGATTTCCCTCAGATTTTTTTCTGTGGTGAAAATGGGGATTTTTTTTTTTCCTTGATGCACTCTTGTATTCAGACTACAAATGCATTGATAAAGTTTTTACTCTTCCTGAGGGACAGGAGTCTAAGCAGTCAGTATTAGATTGGATACTAAACATAGTTGCTATGACCTAATTTATTTTTTATTCCTTAGGAGTTTATACGAGCTTAAGGTTCATAGATGTATCTGTGTTTTAGCTGCCTGATGTAAGGATACTGCCTGCAAGCTTCATTTTGGTATAAATATTCATACCCAAATGCACAAAGTCAGATGAACTTGAAGGAAGTGGATGGAATGACCTATTTTTTGAAGCAAGCTGTTAGATATCCCTAGATATATTGTCAGTAGTAGCTTGAGCTGCTTTTCTCACCTGCTGCTGATCTTTTGAAATTAAAGTCATCTTGATATGGTAATGTACAAAAAGATCTTGATAGGTCTTGTGCTATACTGGTGTGATGTTTTTCCCCAGTGCTAAATTAGCCTCCTACAGGTAGCCTCTGTGTTGCTGAGGTGAAAAAATGAGAGGGCTTTAGTATATTTCTACATGTGGGAAACAGAAGAATGTCCAAAACAGAGTCATATCTGCTGTGTTCAAAATTTCTGGGTATCTCATATTAAGTAGTCTTTATATAGATTCCAGTTTTGATTCCTGTCTGGAGTTTAAAAAATGGGAGTTAGAAATGTCAATATTAAATAGCTTTAATAAATAGTGTGTTTTCAAAAAATGCTTAAGATTATGGTAGCCTAATATTCTTGAGATATTCATTAACGTTCCATGTTCATCATTTTCAGACAAAAATACAACTGAAAATGGAAAAGCTTACTTCGACTACTAAAGCAATCTGTGACTTGGAAACATTCCACCATGGAGCTGGGAATTGCAAGGCTCCCTTCTTTCATACATGGCCCACATCATACTTCTGTAAGTAAAATATTGATTATCTTAGCTAATTACATTGTGTCAGCAGTGTCATCCAATTTATGACTGAAAAATAAGCCCTCTTATCTGGATGTCCTGCCTGAGAGGGAGAGAGTGCTGTCTCCTTTACAATTGACTAATCAATAAACATGTGAATGCATCACTTGGTTTAGGGTTACTGCTGATGACTGCCAAGCATTGTCTGACATGCAACAATTACAGCATAGAGCTGAATTTGTCAGCAGTTTACAGTGTCCAAGCTGCAACAGCCACATCCTCTGCAGGCAGAGATGAATTTGCAACTTGCTGGTGTTAAGCTGCAGGCTTAACTACTTGACTTGTTTCTTGACATTGAAATTAAATCCTTGAATGCAAAAGCAAGCTATACCTCAGTTAATTCTCAAGCAGCCAAAGAAAAATACCTCTGATCTCAGTGTCAATCAAGACAGGTAAAGAAATGTTACACTCAACTGTTAATATTAATTCTTTTAGAGCTCACTTGATGGCAAAAGGTACTGCCTCCCAACTGGTATTACCCCAGTTTTAAAACTGTCTGAATTCAAGAGAAGCCTGATTGCATGCAAACCAACTGCCTTCTTTGTGAAAATCATACCTCTGTGAAGCTCTGCCTCTTAATTCACTACCACAGTTTAGCAGGAATCTTAATGTATTAGTTTCTGCCAGCCTCAAAGAATAAGAATGACAAAGACAACTGCTGTCAAAACACCCATTGTGACTGAATCATTTAGTGATGCTGTCTACTCCATGAAAGACTAAATCCTTCTGAAGGCAGTGATAGTTCAGGCTAAGTTTGAAGCACAAGCTCAGTCTCTCTTTAAAAATACTTTGTGTGGTTATTTTTTAGGAATTCAAACAATGAAAGATTACTGATGCATTTTAACCTCCCTACCAATTTTACTAACATAATTAGTAACAGTTTTTACAATAAACGCTTTGGTTTTGGTCTGTTGGGGTCTTTTTATTGTTCCTTTTCACTCCTGGTATTACTTATTGGTGATCATGCATTGCTGAAGTGCTTCACAGCATGTGAGGGCATCCTTAAGATTAGGTAACATCAACAACTCTAAAATGTGAAGCTTCTATTGCAGGATAGCGTTACCAAATTTTAAAACCAAATTTCAGTTATTTGAGGAATAAACTGATTATTTTACAGTGAGTCCTGAGAACCAATACCACTGCTTATTCTATAATTAAATGTGGACTCATGTCAAAATCAGAAGTGTGTAAAATACATCCCAGAGCTGAGGAAATTGTTTAGCATTTTATATTCTAATGTAAAAAAATATCATTAATGCTGTAAAAAAAAGATAGCTACAATTGGGGAATAGCTTATGTAAGGTAGGGTTTTTTTATGATCCATGTATTACAAGTATAATTTACCTTTTAGAGAATTGCTGAAATGTTCTGGTTAATGTGCTTGGTTTTTCAATCCATTTCAGATGAGGTTTGTCTGAAGCTGTCTGAAATGTACAAGAAGGAACTACAACTCAAGCAAACCATTGTACAAGACATTGCTCATTCTGCTGACCAGGATCTGATGATGGTGTATTTATCCTCGTGGCTGTACCAGCCTTACATTGAGAACAGCAGCATGCTGCTGCTTGAAGCCATGCTGCTGGAAACAGGACACAGGCAGTGCTAGAATTCCACAGGTTACATGGCTGCCTTCTAGTGATGCTAATATGAAACTGAACTGACATATTGCAAGGCTTACCAAGTAAGTTGATTTTTTGTAAAACTTATTAAAAATATTTTTCTCCATTCATATTCCTTACTTTGTCTCAGCTGGTACTCCTTTTTCTGCGTGGGACAAGCTAGTTTTGGTTGTTTTTATCTATTTTAAGGGCAACACAGGGGTTACAAGTAGGAGGCTAAGTCCTCTGTGGTCAGAAAGAGGTGAGCACTGCTTAGTAGTCTGGGGGATTCAATGCATTTAGAATCTACAGCAAAAGATGTTACTTCCTCCCAAGTCTGGACAGCCTAAAATACCCACATGGTCCCTTTTGCCACAGAAATTCAGCACTTCTTGATCTTCCATGGTTTTGTTTTTTGGGGTTTGTTTTTTTTTTTGCAAGAATTAACAGGGCAAATGTTTTTGTACTTGATTTATAAGTGGAGGAAAGCACAAAAAGAATCCAAAAGGATCCACATAGTTTGGTATGTGATTTGAAATGCTGCTGCAGAGACAGTGTAAATTCTGGTTTGGTTTTGATTCTGGTGTTGTTGGGTACATCACCCTCGAAGAGTCATCAAACCTGAACCAGCACCCAGGGAAGGTTTAGTACAACTCAGCATTCTACAGTCATTATATAATAAGGTAATAAGGTCTTGTCCCTTTTAATTAATTTTAACTTTTTTTTTTTTTTTTTTTTTGGTAAGAGATGTTTCATGAAAGCATCTGTGAATAAAACAAAACCTGCTTTAGTCAAGGCTGTATCCCATCTTGTTTGCTCCTGTCCTAGGGCTCAGTGAGTTTTTCCTTGGGTTACTGATACTGATGTCAAGTGGTTTTGGTTTGAAGGTGTGTCTGTCCCTCTGTACTGATAGGAAAAGCAAGGTCACTTTCCTCATTAGCCCCAAGTTGAAACTTTGGGGTTAGTAAGGGAAATTCATCAGTTTCTTGCAGTAACAGGACAGACAGGCATGAATTAAAAAGTTTTCTTGAAAAGTTGTTCTGTTAACTATGAGGTTGTTTCTGGCAGCTAATAAGAGTTCTATTCTTAACCCACAATTCCAGCATCTAAAAAGAAATTCTGCTGTAGCTCAAGGAGAATAAAGTTAGGAATAGCTTTGTTGGGTTTTGTTATTTTTTCAGTGGAAGTGTTCCACTTAGTTTAACAGCCACCTTAATTCATCTGAGTTGGGCCAGACCTGTGTCACTATGGAAACATCTCAGTACTTCAGAAATATTTTCCAAGGAGAAAAGATTGATTCACATATAGAACTGTTCTTTTAAGATGAGAGTAGGTGTATTATATTTCCCAGCATGTGCAAATTGATAGGGAAGGCAAAATTGAAGCAAGTTTTCATTTTCTCCACAGGTGGAAATTGTGGTTTGTTCTCATTTCTTAAGAGGAAAAAAGCTCTTCAGGAAGGGGTTTTCATATTCACAGGCCCTCTTGTTTATTGACTGTTGTTGGGCATTGGAAGATTACTGCAAAATCATTGCAGAGATGTTTTGTCATTCTAGCTCTAAGTAGTTGATTGTTATATTTGTAGCTCTCAAATATAATTATTGGACAGTCAGCACAAAAGAGTATCATAAGGAATTGCTCACTGCAATGAAAGACTTTGAAACACCAGCAGAACTTTGCTTTGTATGCTACCTTCACTTACAAGGTAGGTCTGTATCCTCTGGCAATTACCACCTCCTAAAAAAAGAGGGGGAAATCCCCAAAACAAATAGTAACTCATTAATAACTCATTAATCTACAGTATCTTCAACAACTACTCATAAAAAGCAACATTTTGCATAATCAAATTCATTTTCTACTTATGCAACCACAAAAAAAAAACCACCAAACAAAAAAGCCTAACCCAACTATGCTTAAAGGGACATAGTAGAGCAGTTTATTTAATCTTTAAGTTGTCTTCTGTTTAGATTCAATTTTAGTGTTTTTCTTTGCGGTGACAATACCATGAAAAAAAAAAATCAGAGCTCATACTCAATTTAAGAATAACTCTCCTGTCCTTGGCAGATTTGTCTGATTGTCCCAGTAGTTGCATCTATTCAGCAATGAGGTGACACACACATTTTAAGGATATGTTACCACTTTTCAGTAATGTCTGTTCATTTAATGCTGTTCTTTTTCACCTGCTAAACTTTTTGAAAGAAAAGACAGTGCCCTGGACAAGATGCTGGTAGGAGGTCTCCACAAAAATATAATCTGATCCAAGGATCATATTGAAAGTATGACAAAAATTCAAGTAATTGGGCAAGTTTTCTCCCTGCCTAGAGCAACAGTCCCTTTGTATTATGATTAAACAGTACAAGGTAGCATGGAGTTACTGCAAAGGTTCAAGTGTAGAACTCATAAAGAATGCATCATCTGAAAGGGGGAAAAAAGTGTAATAGCACTCTAACAAAAATAGGCCATGACAGACTAAAGCAAAAAAAGAATTTGGTACCTCATTAAGGAAAATTAGATCACTACTTATGCAGCTTCCCATTTATGTTTACCTAACAGCATATTTTAGAGGTGTGGCTGTACATTAGACAAGCAACTTAAACACATTTCCAACTGTTCAGTACAAATCAGATCTTGAGGCTATTTTTGTCTCAACTCAGTGAATGCTTATTTCAGTAAGGATCAGCTAGGCTGTCACATTGTTCCCAGAATGCACAAGTTTGTGGATTATACTTAAACCTGCTCATTTTTCCAGGCAGATTTATGTGCATCAAGTCTAGATGCTAATGAATATTCAAGGTAGCTTTTAAAAAGCACAATAACAGTGTTTTGTAATCTCAGTGGCACAGAAAATGCACATTTTTAATATAGCTTTTATTTTACCCATATACAGCTTGCCAGTACACAGCACATCACTGCTGCACAGCAGTACAACTTACTGCATTTTGAGATGGCTAGAGAGAAAAGGAATTACGTAACAAAAGGGAACAGTGCAAGTTTTAGGGTTGACAAGATTTCCACTTTCCACCCATCCCCAACATATAAAGCAAATAGAACAATGTTAATTCTAGAATTTTTGGTTGCAATGCTGCTAAATTTATATAAACATAAGTTATAAAAAGTACAGGGCATAGAAACAGTTTACAAATAAGTTAAATTTCAATTATCTCAGTATTCACATTAGAAAAATATACATTTTATAATCAGTCTTTTCCAGAAGAAAGCTTATAGGGTTTTCTAATTTATGGCTCCAATTCACTTTGTGAGAGCAAAATATCTTCACTTTGGCCACCTGCTTCCATTGCCAGTAGTGCTTCCACCGTTTCCAAAGGTATCCCTTGGGGTGTGCGAATGTGCATTGTAGTACCGTTGGAATCAGTCACAATGACGATGCCTTCTGCCTGAGACAAAACAGCAGTGTCTGGATGAGACAAGATAAGCCCATCTGAAGTCTGAATAAAAATCTGTTCGTGTCCCTGAGACAAAAAATCATGGCTCTCATCAGAAATCTCAAAAGCTACAGTTTCATCTACAGTAACTGTATTTGCCATCTCGTGTGCTTCCTCTGTCTCGCAAGAATATTCACTCTGGTGTTTGAAAGCGTTTTCCTGGTTCCCATGAGCAGACAGGGAAGCTCCCTGGCCAGGGTTCTGGTGTGACTCAGCCTGAGCACTCTGAGTGTAGTTTATTGGCACAACGTTTGTTGAAAACACCTTCTCAAGTTCCTGCATCTCATCAGTCACATCAGCATTATGGAGTTGCTCAGAACGTTCTTTAATTGCGAAATTCGGGATTTCTTCTTGCAGCTGATGATATTTTGGACTGTGACCATTTTCTGCAGTCGTTGTTAGGCCAGTGCTCTGCCTGGCCCCTGCCTGCTCCATCAGGGAGCTGTGGAGCTCAGGAGCTGCCGGTGCCCGCGCCGCGCTCCCGCTCACAAAGCGCGCCCGGAGCGGCCCGGCCGAGCCACCTGCTCCCACCACGGGCAGCACCGCTCCAGGGTGCAGCAGAGATCCTTCACCTGCCACGCCTGCTCCCTGTATCCCTGCAGGATGGGGATACTCCATCCTCATTTCCACACTTTGGGAGAAGGGACCTGAACTTTCACCATCGATTCCAACTCCTGAATCAGCAAGTGAGTTATGTTCCTCTGCTGTCTGTAACGTACTTCCAGCTGTACAGCAGGTGATATGCCTGTCTTCTGAAAGCAGGATTTCTCCATTTAATGGATTAAAACCTGAAAAGGGGGAAGAAGTATTATTTTGTTGGGCAATCTAATATTGCATGCCAAAAAACCTATATTTCAGCAATAGTTTTGGAGGAAAAGCTAGACTACTTCCCTACTTTGCTTCCCCCAAATTAGCAAACCTGAAGCACCTTACAGGAGTTTCATAGAACTTCCCAATGAGAAAGTCATTATAAAATATAAATACACAACTATAAAATTATAAATATAACTATATAAATATTTAAAAAATAAAAATAAATATAAATAATAATAAAACTACTTATTTTTGAATAGTGATCATTTATCAAGTATTTCTATATTAATATAGAAATACTTAGAGAGTATTAGAGACCTTACATTTAGAGGCAGCATTTTTCTGTTCATCCTGAAAACAACCTGGGCTGAAAGGTAAACTCAATTTTCTTCCATCTGTCATGTAGCCAGTAATATTAAAAGATAAAGACTTTACCAGGCACAAACTTGTCAGCTGCTCATCCTCATCACTTTTAGTAAGTCGATGGAAGCATTTAAACTTCTGTTTAAATTTCTATTCTTCATCCTGAACTCGGGACATGTCATCAGGTTGCTACATATTAATTAGCTGTGCTAAGAGCCCCTGCAGCACTTTTGTCCTGTGCCAGAAAAGGTAAAAACCACAAGAAATGCAGTGTTCTACCAGTTACTTGACCTGGACCTGACCAGGGTCCCAAGCCCTGAAAGTAGTTGGACAATAACTACTAAGCTGCAGTAGTATGAGCTGTCAGTTTTTATTATTAAAGCTCAAAATGAACAAGTAAGTTGGTCTGGTTTTGGATTTTTTTTGTTATGAAAGATACCACTGCACAAAAAAGGGACTAACACTGCAGAGAGGACTATTTTTAACATTTTGCACTGTAGACTAGCAAACACCCTCCTAGC